ATATCGCATAGCCGAGCCTGAGGGGCCTAAGTGCAGATTTAAAAAATTCCAATGCTATCGCATTGCACGGTGTTCCGGTTGTGGAAATCAATTTGAAGTCTGTCGTCTAAACGTTAATTACGTTACTTTTACCGTTATTTACGTAACTTTGAATCCTACCGGTATTTTTACGTCCCCAAAACTTATTCAGTTAACACAATCACCATCTCAGTCCATTGCGATCTCGCGATTTACAGTGCTCATGTTCGTCAAACGAAAGTCATCCGCGTTCCGAAACCACTCCTCCCGATTTTATAAAGTTTGTCAAACCAACCGTCGTGCTGGTTACAAAATTGAGGAAAACATCACAAGAGAACCGCAGCCTTTAAAAGCAAGCCAAACAATCCAACCTCAGCAACAATGGAGGGGCAGTTTCAATGCGCGACTACTCGTCTTTTCAGCCTCGCAATTTTCGAAAGGGCGCAGACGCTGAGAAAATTGTTGCCAACACTGGTAAAACTAAAGCGTAGTTGTACGCTTCATTCAAGCGTACAACTACGCTTCAAGACTGTACGCCCTTCTTGAAGCGTACAACTACGCTTCAAGGCAATCCCCCCATGCATTTAGATAGGAAGAAAGGAGCGCATGGATGGACTCTTGTACGCTTGAAGAAGGGCGTACTGGCTGTACGCTTCACGAAGGGCGTAATAGTACACCTTAGTTTTACCAGTGAACCCCGAAAATTAATTTATTGCGTTTTTTCTGCTACAGACTCTTTACTGACAGACTTCAAAGATGTTCCAACGTCGGGACACCGCGCAATGCGTTAGCATTGGCATTTTCGAATTTCACGGCGTTTTGATTTCTTTTTATCGGCGACTTTTTATTTTGACAGTTGGTACGATGGCACCGTGTCGTGCGTGTCGTTGCCATGGAGACTTTTTTTTTTCATGTTTTAACCATTTTCTCAGAAGACAGACGATTTCTTGTCACTTTGATGAGGCAGGAGGTTTAGTTTTGAGGAGTTGCACATTTTTTCTTCGAAACGTTTCTGGAAAATGTGAACGGATAAGGGTGCTTGATTGTTGCAAATTTATGTTTTAGTCGTTTACGGAAAATTTCCACGATAAATTTTTTAGATTTTCTGGACTTTTTATTGTATTATGAAAAGGATTAATATGGTGGGAGCGAAATGTCTATTCTGGGGGGTCCGTAGAAGAAGAATTCTGAGCCGTCCCGGGCAATAGGGGTCCTCCTCCGTCGGAACCCCTAAAAATCGGCCGATTTCGGAAATTGAAAGTTGTATTCCAAGTAAACACGTCATTTTGATGCCCGTAGGGCGAAAATTTCAAGCGTTTTGTCATATCTCGAGCCGTTATGGCCGAAACGGCGCTCTGAACGCGCTCCGCCACCGCGCGGAAGGCCGATCTGGACCCCACTACGAAGCATTTGGGCTGCACCAATCCGCCCCGGAGGCCAGTGGATCGCTGCGTCACTGTCAGCACCTTCTCAAAACATGTGTTTGACTAATTGCATAGTAGTTGGTGGGTTGGATTTCATAACAGACGTGGTGAAGACAAAATTTTACACCGAAACACGTGAAAGTGCTTAAATGGCTAAATTTGACACTTCAAGGGCATATTTCAGCATTTTCCTTTTGAGTATCCCACTAACCACAGTTGAATTTTCAGAGATAATTCAGATACATGTTTAGGGAAGGTGCTGACAGCGACGCAGCGATCCACTGCCCTCCGGGGCGGCTTGGTGCAGCCCAAAAGCATCGTAGATGGGTCCAGATCGGCCTTCCGCGCGGTGGCGGAGCGCGTTCAGAGCGCCGTTTCGGCCATAACGGCTCGAGATATGACAAAACGCTTGAAATTTTCGCCCTACGGGCATCAAAATGACGTGTTTACTTGGAATACAACTTTCAATTTCCGAAATCGGCCGATTTTTTTAAATCTGCACTTAGGCCCCTCAGGCTCGGCTATGCGAAATCGTAGCACCTCCAAACTTTGGCAGAGGTGTTTTTTCACCAAATGGAACAATTTGGCACCACGAACTTTTGTCTCAGTTCAATTTGAAAAAATAAGGGACGGTCTAAGGAGACAGTTTTCAGTAGTTTAAAGCTTTGTTGTGACAAATATGGTCATGAAATTTCAGGTGAAAGATAACGTGGTATTCAGAAAACGATACCAATTGTTCGATGACCAGTTTTGGCATTTCTTGCCGCAATATTCACAAGTTAATATTACAGTTTGACGTAAGTCCATCCGTTATCTGACAAAAGAACTGAAGTCCATTCGTTTTCGGACATAACAACTTATGTCCAGTCGTTTTCTGACAAAAGGGCCCAAGTCCACACCAGTTTTCTGGTCCTAACGACTTAAGTCCGTATGGACGTAGGTGGTTTTGTCAGAAAACGGAAGGACTTAAGTTGTTAGGTCCGAAAACGTCACGCTGGACTTAGGTTCTTTTGTCAGAAAAGACGTGGACTTACGTGCTTTTGACAGAAAACGGATGGACTTGCGCTGTTTTGTCAGAAAACGAGTGGACTTGAGTTGTTTTGTCAGAAAACGAGTGTACTTAACTCGTTTGGTACAATGCTATAACTTCCGAACTAATTATCTTAGAATCGTAGGCCTTCCACCATTCTATGTAAAGTCTCGCCAGCAGTCTAAGAAAACAATAAAACCATTCTGACCAAAATGTGTACTTAAGTCCCTTGGTCCGAAAACCAGTGAATTTTAATTTAGTCCATATAGGAACAAAGCTCCGGTAAGCTCGCTTTGATCAACAAGGAAAAGCTGTTCCCTTGAATCCAGGTGCTACACTTTTTGAGTTTTAGTCATAAGTGCAAACTGTTGTCGTAACGGCCCTGGTATCGTTTTGGTTTGGGTATCACCCCTGAACGTGATGAGCCATATGTTCAAAGCCCGATGTTCTTAGCAGCAACCCGATTTTTGTTTGTTTGTGGCATAGGACAGCGACATTTGAACATAGGACCCGAGCAGCACTTAAAATTTACAGTCACACAATGAAATAACAGGAAAAGTAGCGATATACATCGGCAACTTTGGCCCGTCCCGTACATTAACAAATGTGTGAATTTCGCCTTTGTTTAGCCCTGACGGCTTTGAACCTGAGTCTGGGGTCGAAATGGATGTTATTTCCGTCATCAGCGCCCTCAAAAACATAAGAAACAATGCAAAAACTCGAATAAAAAGAATGTTCAAAATATACCCCACTGGGATTTGAACCCGGGTCCAAACTTCTTCGATTCGCTTGAAACTGGCACCATTGGTTTTGTCTCGTCGCCCCGATTCCAAAAATACCCCTACATGCCCTGTTAGCTGTATCCGTTGCCGAAATCCTCCGCGACCCCGTAGACCATGATGCACCTGCAGCAGCGCACAGTGGGCTGAGATCCGTAAAAACGACATTTAATACCATTTTTTCAAAATCGTTTTTTGGATTGGCTGTGTGTGAGTTAATGTTCAGAAAGGTCCACTCTTGAAGAAAATGGACATGCCAGCCCAAAAACCTAGCCGTATCACAGTGAAAACTACCCGCGAAAACTTGGTTTTTTACGGTTACCGAGCTAGTGCCGCGGAGCACAAAAATTGCACATTCCCCAAACCCCTTTCCGACCAGCCAGGGCAAATTTTTTTTATCCCGGTTTTCGGCAGAATCTATTGTTTGGGTATGCAACTCGAGATGAAGACAGAATGTGGACTCATTTTGGCCTTGGTGGCGTGAGAAGACACATATTTTATAAATTTAGGTAAATATGCGAATTTTCATTTATTCCCAATATTCAATTTGAGTTTCAAAGCGACTCCTTCGTGTCCCGAAAGAGATCTATACGCCAAAATGTTCCTTGGACCTTCCTCTACAAGATCCAAATTCTATCAAAGGCTCATCGAGGCTCCTCTCGGATTGCGACGCGTCGAAAGCTAGCTCTGTTCGTCATTTCGCCGCGCCGCCGCAACGACAGGTGGCGCTGTTGACGCTGCTGCTTGCGCGCGCCACTGCCACCGCGTCGCCGCAAAAATCAGGAAGTCACGCGCGCATATCTCTGCAAGTTTCTAGGGTATAAGATTTGCATGCAGTGACTGGACTGGACACGGGACAGGTATGTTTGAGTGTTTACGTGAGACATATCCGTGCGTACTCGCTCTGCCATCGCATCAGACAAGTTTCATTAGACAAGTTTAAACTTTCTGTGCAGTGCTGTGGTTGAGTTTATCTTAGTGTGTCTGGCGATGGCATGTGTAACCCATTGTAAACACCTAAAAGTTTGTCTGAAAACGGCAAAAAGGTTAGAAAACACGAAGTTAGAAACACGGACTTTTCAAAAAAATTTCAGGCTGTTACGGTTGTTACGGATATTACGCATGTTACGCAGGAGTTTGGGGGCGAGGGTGGAGACTTGTGGGGATTCTATTAGCCTTGCACTTCCTGTTCGACAAATTTTACATAGGATGTTACTGTTTTGTAGGGTAGCTAGGACATGACCCAAGTTTCTCGCATGGAGCTGTACCAAATTACTTTTGTTGTTATTATTTACTTTTTTGTCGATTTCATTTTGTTTTTATTCTGTTCCTTGCGATGAACTTATTTTGACTTGTCCTTGGCTACCAAGTTGATAATGTGGTGTTAAAATAAATTTATGAACACTTTTTGGTCTTATTTGATGAAACCCGTCCTCTGAAAATTTAGACACATAGTCAGATCGATAGAGCGGCTCAAGACGAATCGATTGGTACTAGTTTGACTGCTGTAGCACAATCCGTTCGGCCACAGTCGAATTAAATGTCACATTTCGCTCCCTCAGCCCACTGTGCAGCGCCCCCGGGGCTCGGATCGGATTTGCTGCCACCGGGCGGTTCTTAGGGTCACCCAAGGAGGCTGCATACCAAATTTGGTCAAGATCGGACCACGGGAAGTCCTCGGACGAACGAACGGACGGACGAACGAACGGACGAACGAACGGACGCACAGCATGCATCATTCTATTTGCCCGTCCCTCCGTCATTTTTTTACAAAAAATAAACGGGACGGGCCAAAAATCAGTCTTGTTCCACCACCATCTGTTTGATTTCGTCGATGTACTCGAAGACGTGCTTGTACACGAGCTCCCCTGCGTCGTGAGCGATGACATAGTCAATGTGGCAGAACTCCTTTGGAGGCAACCTGTGAAGTCTCTGGAGGACCCCTGGGTTCAGGGCTTTGGCGAAGGCCTCCGCGTCCTGAAAAACAGGTTGTCAGGGTCAAACTGATTTTCAACAGGCTTGCAGGTTTCAAGTAAATTTGGGTTCAGTGCTCAACCCAATGCGAACTGACGCGGAGCCCCCTCCATGCTTTCAGTATGGAACGCCCATGAAGGCGTGGGGAACTCCAAACTTGAACCGGGGGACTACAAGCTCTGCTCTTCCAAGTGCGGACTGCAAACTCCACATCTCCGCATATCAGTACATAGTGTTCATAGTGTTTCGGGCCATAAAACTCACTTTCCAGTTTACAGAGCCGTCTCCCACCGCGTATATTATGTAAGTGGGGGTCCTGATGTTCGTCAAGTTGTACTCTGGCGGCGTCTCTTGTCCATACAGGTCCAGGTTCCTGTCCTTCCCGTAGTCGTATTGCGCAAATTTTCCTGAAAACATAGAAAAAAAGGGATTAACTGTGGTAACAATTTTGTCGGGAAGAAAGCACGCTGTCATTTTTTCTGCAATTCCTTTGCTACGACTTTTTTGGAAAGTAACTGAGTTTGCAATTCCCACGACTTATTAAATCTACGGCATGAATCAAATCTTAGCCAATAAAAAATGATGTTGATCTCAACAGGGACATAATAAGCGGTCTCGTCCTATTTTCGTCCAAAGTAATTCCATTCGATTTTCGGTTCCGAAGCATGCACATCACATTATCCAAGACACCCTACCTGAGTTCACACCCTGCGCGTAGTGCTGCATTTGTCTGATAGAGGAGCCAGCAGGGTAATGGTGCATGATCAACTGCATGTTTTTCTGCAACAACAGTTCGAACACTTGGTTTTAGCCACACCAGCCCTCGGTTAACAATTAACACTCTCGTCCCCGAGAGGGTACAAGTCTACAAATCATCCTTAAATTTCTTTGTACAGTGTTCGACGCTGACATTTTGACGCTGACTTTGTTGACGCTGACAAGCTTTTCGTAATTTTTTTAAGCAATTTCGCACCAATGTCGATGGGTCCTATTCAAAAGATCTTATCTGATATGGGCGTTTTCCCCGAGAGAACTTTATCTTAAACGCAGGCCAAACTCAGTTTGAATATTTAATACAGTTTCAAATCAATATAATTTGTGATTTAATTCCATTTTATCTAAAGATAGAAGATCAAAAAAAACAATCATACATGTAAAAATATAATACAGTCACTCTCGTATCCGTCACAAACAGTCAAAATGAATAACAATGGCCTGCATTTAAGGTAATATTCTCTTGAGGGAAACGCCTAGGTAACATCTCTTGCATAGGACTCCTTGAATAAGTGCGATCACTGAAAATTGAAAGGTCAGGCTTTTGACCCCTTTAACGGTCTTACTGAAATGTAAGACCGAAAAAAGGTCATACTTCGATGTATGACCGAAAAACAGCCATACTTTATAGTGTATCACAGGTAGAGGCTGATGAATTCCCAAGCTAAACAATGGCCAGACTCGCTGATGTCTGACCTTTTTTTGGTCATACATTTGTGTTTGACCGTTCTTTTTTCATACATTTTGTGTCACCGAAAATCGGTCAGATGTCTCACCCTAAGAGTTTCAGTGATTTCGTGTAAACAGATCTGCACGAGCAATTTCGCAGGCCCGAATTTGTGGGGATACAGTGGGCCCGTCTTGCCTGTCCCGCCCTGTCTGTCTCGAGGGAGGAGTTCCCCGCCTGCTGGAGCCCGACGAGAGCTTCACCTTCTCAAAGATGGAATAACAGCAGAGCCTGGCCGCAGCCAAGGGGAAATAAGTGTGAATTTCAGTGTCTAATTTTTTGAATTCTACATAAATTTTGGAGTAGGGTGGGCCGAAAATCCTAGAATTAGACGCCGTTTGTTTTTCTTTGCAGTTGACTATCTTAGAAAAGAGATCCCACGGTGCCGGTGTGTGGTGACGTCACCTCTAATCTCTTTGGACGCTCCAAACTTGGGTCTTAAAGTGAAAAATGGCATTTATGGCCCTACAGGGGCGAAACCAGCAAACGCCCAGGATGCGGCTATCTCGCGATGGGTGCGGAATATGTCCCTTTACATCCCTGCATTGCATAGTCTGGGCGATGTAGCTCAGCATCTTGGTTAAGCCCGGGCATTTGTTTTAACCTTAAAACAATGTCCCAAAACACAAAAAATTTGATTTAAGGGTGCTCAAAAGTCCCATTTACTTTTATTAGTCGGAATTACTTAAAAAATGCTATTTTTAGATACATATAACTCTGTGATCAGACAAAAATTGTTGCCAGGGAGAAATTTTACACATTTAAACAAAACGAATAACACTAAAAAGTGATCTTTAAGAAAATATGTATTGCCTGCGGACCCAATATAATCATACTGTTCAAAAGATCCAAAAAAAGCAAAATTTCGGTATATATAGCTACGTGATATGACAAGAGTTCCATTTGTTGTGAAATGGTTCACAAGCAAAGCGGAGCAAAGCCCCTGGTAGTCACAGGATTGCCTGACGAACGCTAACGCGTTCTTCTTTAATTAACACTGTAGGTCCCTGTCGGGCTAAATGTGCCATTTCCCACAGTTAGACCCAAGTTTGGAGCCTCCAAAGACATGGAAGGTTACGTCAAAAGACACCAGGATTGTGGGATCTCAATGTAGCCAACTGCAAAGAAAAACAAACGCCGTTTAGATCTGGGATTTTTGAACCACTGAACTGTGTCGTCATAAACATTGCAAGTGAACTTTTGAAACGTTCATTTGATAGCAAGCTGAAACTCGAACGCGGATCGCATCAGTTAAACGAACGGAAAAAAGTTTCCTTTTAATAGAATATGATGCCACGCCCGTTGAATGTGTGCACTGCACTACTTACGTTGTCGATAGGCTCGTGAAACTTGCCCATGACGAACTCGATCAAGCTCCGACAGTACGGCAGTATCCTGGGATTCGGGTCGTCGTAGGGGAAGCAGGCCTGGGGGAAGGGCTTATCGAAGCCGGCGAACAGGTCGTTTTCGACATACGTGGAGAAACCTGCCTGGATACAGAAACACCATCGGGAAACGTAAAAAATCCAAGTTGAGAACTTCAAATTGAAGGGTAAAGAGAACGGGGCTCAATCCGGACTCTGGATATTGGGGCTTCGGTCGGGGCTCAAATCGAGGCTTACATGGGACTCAGGTCGGGGCTCAGACCATCGAGGCTCAAACGGGACGGGGCGCATGTCATATTTGCCGTTATGGCGGGATGACCACACCGTTTACGAGTAATCGCAAGTAATGTCTCACTAAGAGAGTGCGGCACTTTGCGACATTTTTTTAATTTTTTTTTTTGCATAGCTGTGGCGTCACGCTAAATATTTGCCGGATATTATGCAGCATAGATGAAATCAGTTAAACGTCCGAAGACTGGAAGAAAAATTTTAAATGAGTCATGTCATCAGTCGTGCGGAAGGACTCTCACTCTCGTGTGACTGGTCCAGGCGCTCTTTCATTTTCATGTTCGGCCTGTCATAGAGCTGCAGCAGCAGCAACGACGGGAGCCTCCGGCCTTCAACAGGAAACAAAAAGGAAGGTGGCAATTGGTCTGCGACGGCCGCGTTGGGGTCACGCAGGATGGCCGCCCCACAGAAACGGCAACAAGAGCACCTCACGAACCGGTTCATTAATTAGCTTCAGACACGTCCCCTGTCCATTCCACCACCAAACAAAAAAGAGGAACGACTGGTAATTAATGTTAAGTTGTCGCACCCTCCCGCCTCGCGCCACTCTCCTCTAATTGCCCCGTTTCAGGAGATACAAACAGGCCAACGCAGCTTCAAGTCCGCCTCACACTGTAAATATCAGTTGGTTGTCGAAGTGGTAATCACTTGAGGACGATTTTCGTGCTAGTGTTCCAAGCTGTCAGACAAAGTTTCCAAAAACTAATAGAACCACTCCAATTTTTTTAGAAAAAAAAAAGTTTTATTCACTGACTTAGATCGCTAAGTCTGACAAAACTGGCCTGAATTTTCAGTATGTTAAAACAGTGGGGTTATTATTTTGATCACGCCAGCTGATGGCATTGTTGTCAAGTCCATGCAACAGTGTGCCCTCACCTCTCCACCGGGGACGATGGTGATGAAGCGGCTGACGTAGGCCACGAAGCCGGTGGCGTGCTTGCTGTAGACCTGCGGCGCCAGCAGCACCTGCCCCATGATCTTGTCGTTGTACTCGGGCCTGGCCGCCAGCAGCACGGCCAGGGCGGTGCAGCTCATGGAGTGCCCCACCGCCACCACCTTGGGGCGGCCCGTCGCCCGCAGCACGTAGTCAATGCTCTCGGCCTGGTCGACCACGCCGTTCTCGTGCCAGCTGCGGACCAACCACAACAACTTCGGTGTACATTCCCCTTGACAAAACGGTGAAACGACGTAACATAACGCTGAAATAACATGAAATAACGCGAAATACCCTTGAATTTACGTCGATATAACAATGAAATAACGATAAAATACCCTTGTTATAACGTTGGAATAACAATGAAATAGCGTGACTTTGAAATAATAACGGTGTACAAAAGTTTGGCCAAGTTACCCCTCGGGAGAAACGGGCATTACTGTCAAGCCAACAAAAGAGAAGACAGCAACACACCTACAATTCCTTGCGAGTTTCTCATCAGAAAAAGGTTGTATTTTCAAAGCGAGGGGTCGGCAACTTTCCTTGGCCGTGTACGAGGAAGTATACGTATATTACCAGTAATATAGGTAATATATGTGTAATATGAAGTAATATAAAGTAATATGTAGTAATATAGGGATATTATGGAGGCGAAATTGTGGTAATATGCAAGTAACGTATGGTAATATACAGGTAATATACGGGTAATATAGCCACCGCGTACTATGCGTGACAAAAGTAAGCGACCCCTCCGGCCGGGCCTGGCGATACCCCGCGCCCAGGCCGCTGCCGAGACAGGCGGACTCCTCGGCAGATGGACCGACGCAGGGCTGCGCTGTAGTCAAACTATCACTGCAGGTGCACAATAGCTTTATTACCCCCCGACGAGTGAATGACACCCTGGGCCAGCCGCCGGTCTGGATGCCACAGAGCGGCCGAGCTCCTGCTGCTGGCCGGCCGGGTGCTATTTTTACAAGTCAATTTCATGCGAATATGACTATTTTTGACACCACTACCAAAATGCGTCTCAATCTGAGCTGATTATTTCATTGTAGGGTATCTAGTAAACTTTTTCTTACTTCATCAAAATGATCTTAGAAAATTAATTTTTACATGTATAAGTCGGAAATTGAGTCCTCAATACAGTGGCCAACATTCCCAACATGTCAAAATAACGCCCTAGAAAATTTGCATTATAGAATTAGCCGGGTTGCCTGCAGGCTATTGTGTCGCAGGTCTCATTCACTGCCTGGCTGCACCGGCGTGAGGGTGCTGACAAGCTGATTTATTGCCCCTTGACTCAAAATAGAAATTTTCAAACAACTTATTTTTGGATTTCGAATTGAATGGAAATGGGTTCCTTGCGAAGCTGCGAGTCCAGTGATATCTTGAAATTTTGTTCTACGACTATTTGAACCGAAATTCCAGACCAAGTCCAGTTTCCTGCGCATCGGACTTCCCAGGCCACAGGCTGGGTCCTCTGCCTCTGCACTTTGGCACATGCTGCCCCCTCCCCCTCACGGCACCTGCAGTGATAGTTTGACAAAAGCGCAGCCCTGCGTCGCACAGTGGGCGGAAAGACCACTTTTGACGGGAAAAAGTCGGGCTCCGCAACCATTATGTAGATTCCAATGAATGCACTTTCCTAGCTAAAAAAAGTGTGCCGAATTCAAATCTGCCTTTGTTTTTGGCCCGCCCTTCTATTCAAAAAATAGGGGGAGGGCCCCTGTCTGTGTGTTGTTGTTGTTGTTGTTGGCGTCTGTGTACAAGGAAGGAGTTGAGCTAGAGTAACCAGATTTGGAGGGTACTTCAGGAGTACCGTCCAAACAAATAATCCGGTGGTGCAAATCCCGTCCGGGTCGCACAAGGGCTGCTGCAGGTGCATCATGGTTTACATGAGCGGGAGGGGGATTTCCGCCATTATTGGTGCTAGCAGGGCACATAGGGGTATTTTTGGAATCGGGGCGACGAGACAAGATGAATGGACCTGGTCCCAACCCCATCGGCCGCTTTTACCAGTTGGCCAGATCAGGATCTTCAAAAAAGGGGGTCGACCGACTAAAAAATTTATTGCAGATTTCGATTGGTCTCAGCAAGACCTTTTCAACGAGGGGTCGGAAAGGGGGTCCAGGAGCCCGACTTCGTCTATTAGTCACATCAGGATCTTGAAAAAAGGGGGTCGACCGACTGAAAATTTTTTCTTAAGTTTTCGATAGGTCTTGGCAAGACCTCTTCAACGAGGGGTCAGAAGGAGGTCCAGGAGCCCGCCGTCATGAGTTATGGGAAAAAGCGCGACGGACTCGTTTTGAGCTCCTGCTGTGCCTCTATTGCAAGGAGTTGCAGTAGCCTGGCAAATACGGGTATTTTCGGAATGAGGGCGAAGAGACAAATGAAATGGGCATATTCTAAGGACAGTTGGAGTAAAAAGTGTAAGGACTTTTGCATATTGTGAATAGAAGGGCGGGCCTAAGTCACGATGGTACATCGATAACTTTGCTTTACCCGCTCACGGTTTGTGTGATGCGAGCGGGCCGAAGGCCCGGGCCTTCGACTGGCCAAGTTGGGTCTGATGCGAGGGCCGAAGGCCCGAGAAAAGGCCGCCGGCAGGCCAAGCTGGGACGGCTCCCTGTCGAACCGAGTTGCCGGCGCAGCGAAGCGGAGCTGGCAACTCGGTTCGACGTAAGGGCGGGCCCTAGCTTGTTATCATGCGTCTTTTCGTTTTTCTCATAGAAGGCTTGAAAGTCACATGTATCTATTCGCTTAGAAATATCGCAACATAAAGCGCATACATTCGCTGCGTTTACTGAGTCAGTTTTAGATCTAATTTTACAACCCGGATATTTTTAGAAATTGCAATTCACGAGGATTCCAAAACTGTCCTCGGATTGTAATTTCGAGTATATTTGACAAAACTACGGCCGTTTGAAATTTGCATGTCACAAAACACAAAATTCCAAAGTTCCCTTGGGCGGCATAAAAAGCCTCAAGTTGCCCCGCGCTCGCTCAAGGTTCATTTGGGGCCGCAAAGAGTGCTCTCTCGGAGGGAAAAAGAATTAGCTGCCCATAGCTGCCCTTCCGAAGTTTATGGCTCGATTTGTGTGAGCTTGCGTACGAAAAAACGGGTCCCGACGCATGTCAATCGCATAGGTCGTCTCAGGGCATTCCCCTCCCGCCTCCGGCCCCCTCCCTTTCCCCTCCCCCTCCCGTTCACTCCCAGTTCCCCCCTTCCCCTGCGCCCCCTCCCCTTGTACAATGATTTTTCAGTGTTGTCGACTTAGGACAGCAAATATGGGTATATTCGGAATCGGGGCGACACAACTGGTCCAATGACGCGTTCGGAGTCGATCAGTGCTGTAGCTTGGCCTGTAACGTGTCGTTGCCTTATTAGAAGTAGAAGAAGTAACGCAATAAAAACTGTTGCCACAATAGGGGGCCTACGCTGTTGATTTAGTATATTATACAGAAAATTAATACTATCCGTCCATAGAAAAATCGAAAAATGGCCAGATTTAGAATCAGGATGATGATAATGACCCTCTTAAACCTTGAATAAACCTTGAAAAATTAAAGTCACCCACCTTGATTCACAGAATCTGCCCCTGCAAAGTTCGAAACATGGCTAGATTTAGGATCAGTGACCCTTGAAAACTGATATGGGACGTTTTGACGCGGTATGCTCGAAAAATAAAATTTACCCCCCTTGTATTACTGGATCTGCCCCAGAAAAAAAAAATTAATACATGGCCAGATTTGGAATCAGCGACCCCCAAAACCCAGAGTACGGAGTTTTAGCGCGGATTGCTCCAAAATTAAAATCTACCACCCTTATATCTCCGGATCCGCCCCTGAAAAGTTCGAAATATGATCAGATTTAGAATCAGCGACCCCAACAACATAGAATACGGATGAATGATGTTTTTCGGACGAGTAATTCGGTAATGACTTTTTCCCGTCAAAAGCGGTCTTTCCGCCCACTGTGCGTCGGTCCATCTACCGAGGAGTCCGCCTGTCTCGGCAGCGGCCTGGGCGCGAGGTATCGCCAGGCCCGGCCGGAGGGGTCGCTTACTTTTGTCACGCATAGTACGAAGTAATATAAGAGTTGCCGACCCCTCGTTTCAAAGTTGAACCGCCATGACGAGAGCAGTACAGTCCAGATCTCCTTCTACTTTGAATATCTCTCGTTGTACTTTTTATCGCTGTTTTAGTTGTAGTGTTTTGAGAACGTCGCTCTTTCCGCACGCAGTCTTACAAGGTAGGTTTACGCCAGACCGCAAGGGGTCCCCAACCGGCGTAAATCGGTGTACACGGGTGAAAAAGTCATTAAAAAAGTCACTTAAAGTCAAAAAAGTCAAAAAGTCACAAAAGTCAAAAAGTAACAGAAAAACCACTATAAAGTATCCAAAAAGTCACGAAACAGCCTTTAAAAATGCCAAATTTCAATGAACGCTGGTGGAAAAGTAACTTTTATAGTCAAAAAAGTCATTTAAAGGTCAAAAAGTCATTTAAGAGTCAAAAAATCATTAAAACGTGTGAAAGTGAAAATAGTTCCAAGGCAAAACAGTCGCAAAAAGTCAGAAAACATACTCAAAAAAGTCACAAAAAAGTCAAAAAACAATCAAAAAGTCACAAAAAAGTCAAAAAAGTCAGTTTTGACTTTAAGTCAGTGTACGCTCGCCGGCTCGGTTGCGGACCCCTTGCCAGACCGCGTCTTGTCGTAACAGGCTTCGGGAGGTCTCGCGGCCTGTTCCTCCAATCCGCGCCTGGCGTACCTACCTTGGCCTGCGGCGCTAGTCTGCCTTCGGCAGGCATTGGCTTGTCCATCGTCGCTTACTTCTTACGTGTTGCATGCTGGGGGGTTTCTCCCCCCACTGTGCGAAAAAACCACGGTGAATCCCGTCAATTTTTTTTGCCGGGATTTACTGTAGTTCAGAACACAGGATTTGCCGTGCCTGGCTACAGTATCTACTGTACCTGGTACAGGATATTCCGTACTCCACCCCTGTGGTACAGTAAATCCCGTACAAATAAGTACAGTAGATCCTGTTAAAAAAGTACAGTAAACCCTGTACTCTGAACTACAGTGACAGCTGTTCTAATCACTACAGGATTTACTGTGATTTTTACCCACAGTGCCCAGACCCCCCTTAATTCTAGATAGAGTTGCTTCACACTCTAAAAAAAATCAGTACAGAATT